CACATAGTAGTCTCGTATATGTCTTAACTGGATTTTTCCGCACATAGAAAGCGAAATAAAATACTTCAAAAATGCCCCCCCCCCCTCAGCTCCTCCCAACATATGTCATTGTATACTACAAGCCTTACTGAGCAAGCTTTACCCTGTCTTTTATACTTTACCGGGTTACATGAAAAATGGAAAAAGGGCATTTTGCCATTCTCACAGCACTTTGTTTTTCAATTTTGAGCCTCAAAAAATCCACCAAATACATTTTTGGGCTATTTGTATATTGTATAGGAAAGTTCGAAGTTCATGAAAAATTTTTGGAAGGAGATCCAATTTTTAAAATTTGGTTTTTGGCTCCAAATTTTAACTGGATAACAACTAAGGTGGTATCTTTGGTGAACTTTTCGTAAAGCTTGCTTCGCTTTATCGAATGGCACTTTCAGTCTGCTAGGAAAACAACAGCCCAATTAATGGGTACTTTGGAGAGAATAGAATAGAATCACTGTGAAAAAAGCCGTCTGCCAAAATTCCCCTAAAATTGTGGAAAACTGCATAGCGTTTTCACTCTTGCTGATTTTACTACGAATTTTTTGCAAGCTTTTTGAGTTTTAGGGTACCATTACATTCTTTGGAAAGACAGTTGTTACGGGAAAATACTACTCATTAATTGAGCATTACAGTAAGGTGTAATCCATATCTAAAGTCTGTGACTTTGATTAATCTAGTGTAAAAGCTTTAAACTTGTTTCGTCTATTTTCCGAGGCAAAATATGGCTGTCTATCCTAGACTTCTTGAAGTCCCTACCATTACTCAATTAGGTTGATGCATAATTCCTGCACCATAATAGGTGCAGACCGCATCCGGAATAATCCTATATCTCAGATAGATTTCGATACTTCATTATATAGAGCAAATCTAGCTCTACAAAACAGTGCTTAAAGTTCTGCAGCAGCTTTGATCCGAGCGAGGATTGAGGGCAAAAACTAAAGAGATCCAAGCGCGCCAAAAAACCAAGAAAAAATTGAAAGCCATTTCATTTCTTATAAGACGTCTCTCCATGCAGTTGCTGTATTTTTCTCTCAGCTAGAAATGGGAAAACAAAGTTTTTCATGTTTTTTTTCAAAACAACGCTGAGATGTCTAGCCCTGACAGTTGTATACTATAGGACATTAGAAACATGAGTGTGAATTTTCAGCTCTTTACAGCAGCTGGTTCACGAGAAATATCGAATTTTTAGCAATTAGGCAAGAAAAATTTGGATGAGGAAAGCTAGATTCGTCATCTCTCGTAAACTAGCAGCTCTAAAAGGCTGAAAATGTGAAGTTTCATTGCTAAGGGCATGTACTATACAACTGTTAGTGCTAGAACATCTCAACACTAATTTGGCAAGAACATGAAAAACTTCTTTTTCTCATAGTCTAGCTGAGAAAAAAATACAGCAACCGCATAGATAAATGTCTTACGTGGAATGTCTACGCGTGAGAAAGAAGAATTTTTGTAGGAGTTTTTTCAACGGAGTTACAAATTTGTTTTAATTTCTCTTAAGGTTCTCGGACGCATGGTTTTTTTCAGTTCGGCTCAGAAATTCGCTTGGATCAAAGCTGTTGCAAAACTTTATGCAATACCTTGTAGAGCTAGGTTTGCGCTATCTAATGATATATCGAAATCTATTTGGGGTATAGGATTATTCCGGATTATTTCCGTTTGTGCCTATTTTGGTGCAGGAATTATGCATCAACTTAATCTTATATATAAAGCTGAATGTCTGTTTGTCTGTATGTCTGTATGTATGTATGTATGTACGTATGTTCCGAATAGAAAATTCCATTTCTGAACCGATCCGGACCAAACTTGGCACACATACACTTCGGGCCCCGGCGGGTGTCATAGGCTACTTTTCGTCATCGATCGATATCGATTTTATCGATTTTTATCGATTTTTTTGCTGAGTTCACCTACGGGGCTGGGAGTTGGCACAGGGGGGTAATCGAGCATGGGGATTCCGAATACAATATTGGTTTTCAGGATTATCGATTACTTTTATCGATTTTATCGATTTTTTTGCAAAGTTTGAGCTACGGGGCTGGGAGTTGGCACAGGAGGGTAATCGAGCATGGGGATTCCGAATACAATATTGGTTTTCAGGATTATCGATTACTATTATCGATTTTATCGATTTTTTTGCAAAGTTTGAGCTAGGGGGCTGGGAGTTGGTACAGGGGAGTAATCGAGCTTGCTGATCACCCCCAAGGGGGGTGATCAGCATGCTCGATTACACTCCTGTGCCAAATTCCAGCCCCCTAGCTCAAATTTTCAAAAAATCGATAAAATCGAAAAAGTAATGGACGATCCTGAAAACTAATACTGTGTTCGTAATCTGCATGCTTGATTACCCCCCTGTGCAAACTCCTAGCCCCGCAGGTCAAACTTTACAAACAAAATCGATAAAATCGATAAAAGTAATGGACGATCCTGAAAACTAATATTGTGTTCGTAATCAGCATGCTCGATTACCCCCCTGTGCAAACTCCCAGCCCCGCAGGTCAAACTTTACAAAAAAATCGACAAAATCGATAAAAGTAATGGACGATCCTGAAAACTAATGTTGTATTCGGAATCCCCATGCTCACTTCCCCCCCTGTGCCAACTCCTAGCCCTGTAGGTGAATTCTGCAAAAAAATCGATAAAAATCGGTAAAATCGACATCGATCGATAACGAAAAGTGGACTGTGACATCCGCCGGGGCCCGAAGTGTATGTGTGCCAAGTTTGGTCCGGATACGGCGGAGCCGGGTAAGCCAGCTAGTCTTATATATAAAGCTGAATGTCTGTTTGTCTGTATGTCTGTCTGTATGTCTGTATGTCTGTACGTATGTTCCGAATAGAAAATTCCATTTCTGAACCGATCCGGACCAAACTTGGCACACATACACTTCGGGCCCCGACGGGTGTCATAGGCTACTTTTCGTCATCGATCGATATCGATTTTATCGATTTTTATCGATTTTTTTGCTGAATTCACCTACGGGGCTGGGAGTTGGCAAAGGGGGGTAATCGAGCATGGGGATTCCGAATACAATATTGGTTTTCAGGATTATCGATTACTTTTATCGATTTTATCGATTTTTTTGCAGAGTTTGAGCTACGGGGCTGGGAGTTGGCACAGGGGGGTAATCGAGCATGGGGATTCCGAATACAATATTGGTTTTCAGGATTATCGATTACTTTTATCGATTTTATCGATTTTTTTGCAAAGTTTGAGCTAGGGGGCTGGGAGTTCGCACAGGGGGGTAATCGAGCATGCTGATCACTCCCAAGGGGGGTGATCAGCATGCTCGATTACACCCCTGTGCAAAATCCCAGTCTCGCATGTCAAAATTTACAAAAAATCGATAAAATCAATAAAAGTAATCGATAATTCTGAAAACTAATATTGTATTCGGAATCCCCATGCTCACTTCCCCCCCTGTGCCAACTCCTAGCCCTGTAGGTGAACTCTGCAAAAAAATCGATAAAAATCGGTAAAATCGACATCGATCGATAACGAAAAGTGGACTGTGACACCCGCCGGGGCCCGAAGTGTATGTGTGCCAAGTTTGGTCCGGATACGGCGGAGCCGGGTAAGCCAGCTAGTACATTAATGAAGAGTCGTACAATAGGTCTAACAAAGGAAGGATCCGAACTTGAGGTGACCCTTCGAACCGAACCGCATAGCATTTGATGCGTCTTGATGAGCTGATTTCAATTTCACCTTCGTTGTCTGAGATGCTGTTCGTTGGAAAACTTATGAGCGTTCAAAGATCCAAATTTGGCGCAGCGCCACATCCTCAAGAACTAGTTGTTCAAAATCACTTATCCGCGTCTCTGGTACATGTAAGCATCCCTTGAAATCAGTACACTAAATATCTTGCTAGTCTTGCACTCCCAAGTTGGATCCTATAGCACGTCATGCATTAAAGCTCCAGTGATTTCACAGAATGCGATTAAATGTGTAAATCTCTGAATTTCTAATGCATAATGAGCTTTAAAATCCATCTTGGAAGTTAATGATTAGCAAGATATTAAGTGTATTGATTTCAAGGGATGCTCACATTTACCGGAGTACAGTGGGTATTTTTGAACAACTGTTTATGAAGATGGGGCGCTAAATGTTTGCCAAATTTGGACCTTTAAAAGCTTATTTTCCCATAGTCCGGCATCGCAGATAAGGGAGGTAGGTTTGGATCAAGACAAAACTTTTGTGTACTGTTTTTTCTCTTTAGAAGAAAGAGCAATTTTTCATAGAGGAGTTTCAATTGAAAAGATTATTACAATAGTAGAAATTACTACTGTCAATTTTCAATTACTATCTGATTATCCTCCATTTCGTTCAATTCCTCCTTTTGAGCATAAGCATGTCCAGCCAAAATTGACCAAAAGTTGCTAAGGTTTGCTATGATTCAAAAACAACTCAATTAATGGTCTGCAGAGTCAAGGGAAAACATTATCAACCGAGAAGTTTTGGGTAGAACATGTTTAAACACAAGCTTTGTTTGCTTCTTTTTTGAAAAGGCAGTTACCGATATCTTTCGTTTCAAAGAAAAAGCTGATGAATTTACGGTTGGACAAGCGGAATGGTTGATGGCAGAGTTGTGCATATTGTGCACAACATAAAGCTTTTATTCTTGACATAATCTGTCTCTTACAAATGCCTAGGAATTAACATAGCAGAGAAATCAAGGTGGTTGTAATCTCGCAATTCTCTCTTCACTCAGAAAATCATTTGTTTGGGTGGAGGACTATATGTCGCCGAAAGTGGGAGGGTCCCGTGTGGACGATGCAGCGGATACTCAACCTGTGCAGGTATTAAAAAGTGTATTTGGTGCAAATGTCCGGCGGGACCTCCCATTTCCGGCGACATATACTCCCCTACCCCATTTGTTTCTCTGTCAAGTTGTGTCAAAGAAGTTCCGTTTGTTCGTCGTTGTTTTATCAACCGATCTATGTACCGCTTACTTTCTCAGAATATTTTTTTTTTCAGACATACGTCAGTTCGACAAGAATGAGAATTTTCAAATTTACCTTCTTGTTACTTACCATCTTAATGGTAGGTTGACCAAACAAGACATGACTTAGTTTGCGATTTTACTCCTCAAACTTATTGACTGTACGTTACTTTAATGCTTACAGATTCTCTCTGCTGTGGACGTAGCTGAAGGGAATGTTCTCAAAACAATTGGAAAAGGGCTAATAAAAGTTGGAGAAGCAGTTAAAAATCGTGCGGTAGAACAGGTCAAGAAAATTCCGAAAGCTATCAAGCAAGTTCGTCAAGTGTTCGAAATTACCGGTGCACTAGGACTGCCTTAAGATGTTTCGTGCTCGATTGTCGATAAACCTTGGCATTGTGATTCAAGTAGTAATACAGTTTTAAAGCTGTCGACCAAGGTTGATAGCAAGACTTTATCATGCGATAAGCCAGCGTTTCGGTGTCATTAGGGCTTCCCGAAAAATCGAGACTTTGAGCACTGCCCGCTTAAACGCCCTGTTTGGCAATAAATTTAGTTTAGCTATGTGATGAAGTGGCAGAGTAGATGTGAAAGCCTGACTTCAGATTTGTCAGATCGGGATATAGAGACCGAACAACCAGTACTGCGCTGCAGCTGCGCTATATTTAATGGTTATAAAGGATTTCGTATTAGAATCCACATAGTGTTTGTTAGGAAAACAGTTCGCTATTTGTGGCATTGCTTTCATCTTTGCGGTTCACTTTTGGTTGTTTAGACGCTATCCAAAAGACCTTTAACGTTTTACGGGCTATGAACTCGGATTCGCGCGACAAAATCGTAACATTGACTTGAAAGTACTGGTTCTCATGACATAACCTTCGATGTGCACCCGAAGATGTGGACATTTGATTTTCTAAGACGTCAAGATTTCCTCTGATTCTTGTGCACAAGGGTCTGCCGGTCTCTCTTATGTATTGGTCACCTCATTTTTGAGTGGTTATGAAAAAATACCACTCCTAATTCCATGCAGTTGCCTAGTTTCCCAGAGCCCAGGTGATACAATCGGCGGTCGTGCACATTCTATTATATGCTCGATTGCGGCTTAGTTGTTTTTTGAATAGGGAGATGAGTAGGGATACCTATAACTTTGACGGAATCATCGAGGCCGATTTAAAACAAAGATTTCCTGGTAGCTCTGCTGAAACCATCATATACGAAGAACACAAAACGGTATTTCTGTTGGCTTCATTTCGCTCGGTCTGCTTTTTTGCCTACAGGGGTATGCATCGGTGCACCTTTTGCGGGAGAGCCGTTAGAATACCTAATCTGTTTGGCAAGGTTCATCGACAATGCGCTGTTCAACGTTGGATGAAACTGATTTTGCTGCCTGAAAATGTCGCCTATTACGGATCGTTTCATTCTCCAAGGATGATCAGAGCAGTAGTAAATTTTTATATTCTTACTAGCTCGTTTGCGAAATCACTTAGTCATGATCCTTAAGATAGAAACACTTAGAGGTCTAGGAATGCTAGCCAATTTTCGTCAAATATCTTGCGTGAAACTTATGTTAGGGAATTGACTATTCAGAATGTCAAAGGATATGTCTATTTCATTTGAGTTGGACATATGATACAGCAGTCGTCAATGTATCCATAAAAGAGCAAGGGCTTACGAGCAAGTGCTGGTTTTCGATCTTTGACATGAAGGCGATTGCGACAATGGGAGCCAATCTTTGCCCCATCGCTAGGTCACGTACTTGCTTATAATACCTTCCTGATCAACGGCATATGCTGCAAGTCAGGCATTTTTTGAAGGTGTTATGATTTGACGAACATTGAACCCATATATGTGGAGAGCAGATTGATGTTCCAAATGTAGTAGTCATACATGGCTTCCTTAGCATCTTCATTGGAGACATTTGTGTACAACGAGTGACTTCTAAGCTTTCAATCGCGCATTCTCCATTGACAAAAACATTCTAATATTCGATGGGCAGGCACATATTTCAGTAAACGTGTTGGGATCAAATTCAAGAGCCTGGACTTTCAGAAAGAAATTCTAACGCAAGGAGTTTGTGTGTTGCCGGAGCTCAACCAGCGGGACCACAGCTTCCATGCTGGGCTCTGAATCAGGGACCCTTACAAGCGATCGAAATTCGGCGAAAATGGCTGCACTTGTGGCTACATTGAAATCTTTATACTGTCAAGGAATGAATTTAATTGCAATGAAAAAGACAAAAGTTGTATACATTACTTATATGTCAAACCTAATACATGAGAACATATGTAAATTTGACCAGCTCTTACACAATAAGTGTTGCTACCGAAGAACAAACGGTACTTGACACCCGTGAATTTTTACAGCGTACTCTGAGTTTCAGTCAAAAAACGTTGATTTTGGTAAGAGTAGGATGAAGTGCTATGCAAAGTGCTGTTGACAACAACATCTTTAACATTTACGATGAGGTGACAAAAATACGTCATATTCTGTAAATAGCTAATTATAAAGCTCTCAGTGCAATGCAAAAATTACTAAACAATCCAGCAAGCAAACAACTCTTGTAACAAACATTTATTAGGTTGTCCCGAAAGTTTTGTCCGTTTTTTCAACCTATCACAAAAACACAAGGAATGAAGGTAGGTAAACGCTTCAGGTATTATCCGACGCAGCTTTTCCCCCTCTTTCCAACTGTCATGAGTCCATGCCGATTACTCTTTTGCTCACTGAGATAAACGCCGAAATTTCGAACCCGTGGTTTTTACTATTTCCAAAGAATTTTTCACAAATTTCATTTTCTTTTTGAAGACCTTTGATAGCGCTCAGATAGAGTAAACAAAGGGCAATGCAATGCAATTTTTTGGCTCATCCAGCTGGCTTTTCAGTACTTTTTGAGAAGATCTCTTTCAAAAGTCTTCACTTTTGCGAAGTCCCAAAATACAGAATCGCCTCGAACACTAACAAATCATCCGATTTTGAAACTTTCAAAAATCGATTGCGGTTATTCACTATTTTTACAAAGCAACTGAGCGTTTACCGCTTCGAAATATAAGATTTCGCATTTTATGGTATACGCTGGGGCGGGGTCAAATTCAAAAATTATGGAAATTTTATCGCTAAAGACCCGACAAATTGGAGGGGAAATACACTCACTGGAAAGAGGAAAAAAAGCTGCAGCGGATAACACCTTAGTTGTGCCGCCGTTTCATGATGTCTGGCTTTTGACATCACCAAAAGTGGAATTTGATAGCATCAGAAAAATAATTCCAGAAAATTTTCAAGGCTACCTATAGATGCCGCAAGATTGCAGTATATTGCCCTTTGTTTGTTCTATCTAACTGTTGCCAAAACTTTTCCGAAAGTCAAAAGATTGTGAAAAATTGCCAAACTTGGACATAGTAAAAACCATGGGTACGAAATTTCGGCGTTTTTCTCAGTGAGCAAAAGAGTAATCGGAATGGGATCATGACAGTTAGAAAGAGGAGGAAAAGATGCGTCGGATAGTGCTTAATTTCATGTCTTCGTTCCACGCGTTTTTATGACAGGTTGAAAACGGACAAAACTTTCGGGACAACCTAATATTTATTGTCCAGCTATTCCTACCGTTCTTAACATGAAGCTACTCGGGGCCGTCGTTGGGACCTTAGGGACCTCATCCCTAGCACTCGCAACATTTACAGTTGCAGTGTCGCAACCGCGGAAGCACGACATCAACGAGGAGCCCATCAAACGTTACAAGCTATACCAGTGACAGCGCCACTACCGAAAAGAACGCAACAAAGTGTTGAGTAGCATTTTCTTGGATTAAGTGATCGTGACAGCTCTGTCACCACAGTAGCGCAGCTACTAAGTCAACAACACCTTCGCCTATAACTGCCCTCACTATCTTTGGTAGTAGTACTACGAATGGCTCGACGGTGGCAAATGGTAATTTTTTTCCTTCCTAAAATTTGCAGTTAAAGCATGCCCAACAACAGTATGTACGTCGGTAATTCGAGTATTTTGACAACGTTCTTAGACAAAATTGACGTTTTGTTATCGTTAAGCGTCGTTTCTGGCTGCTGTGCTCGGTTTGTGTGAATGAGCTTTGAGAAATGCTAGAGATGTCGATTATGACGTGCAATTCATCACTATAGCGGCACTTCTGCACAAATTACCCACAAAGAAAAGGCTTACAGCAGATGCTTCCCAACTGTATCGTTTCTCCAAGCTTACCTTTATACAGTGTTGAAGTTATGAGCTTAGCAGAACGCAACAACGCTCGACCACAACAAGATGTGTTATTTTGCTAGCGAACATACCTCACGTTGCAAAGATTAACAATTAAATAATGAGGATAATGATAAAAAACATGCATAAATTTGAACTGAAGGTTGAGGTGTCACGCTCCGCGGCGATCGGCCTGCTCCAGTTCAAATTCGAATTCGCCCACCGACCGACTAGTGGGGTGAGGGACGACTATAAGATCATACATTTTTAGAGTGGATAAATAACAATTTTAGCAACAGCGTGGCAACGATAACTACACCGTCCCTTAATGCAACAAAGTCTCCTGCTTTTGAATTCAGTACTACCACAGATATGAAAGCGTTAACTTGTAAGTAACTGTCAATCTATAATAGAAAAATTTACTGCTGATTTAAGCAACCGCAGGCATCACCATCAACGATGGCTCGTAGGGCAGCAAACGCTACGGTAGCTAAGCACTACTACATTTAATAATTATCCACAATGAGAACACTAGGTCATATGTTCAAAAATTTGTTTCTCATTCGGGAGAATATAATAGGGTTGGCTAATAAATAAGTTCGGTCGCTTTTTCAGCTCTTGCAAATGCTGTAGACATATTTTTGTCCAATATTTGGTATCTCCGAAAAGAGCACTTCACTGGGTATTGGAGCGTATATTCTGTTTGAGTAAAACTTATTTTCCCAGGAAAAAAATCCGC